CTCTGTTTTCAGGTTTTCTCCGGCCAATCAGAGTTCTATAAAGATCAGGCAACTATTATAAATCCATCAGTGTTCTTCTGCTTACCCTGCTTATTCATCTTAGCAAAAGTTTGGTTACACCCTTTCACCAGTCTGTCATAAAGAGACCAACACCTGCAGCCAGTTTAGAATTGCCTCTTAACCTAACAAGCATGTCTTTGGACTGTGGGTGCAAACTGGAGAAATCCCACAGAAGCACAGGAAGAGCACACAAAGCAAACTCCATGCACAAATGCCCCAACTGGCTGTTGGGTTTGAACCCAGGAGCTTTTTGCTTTCAAGCTAAATTGGTAACCACTGCACCACAGTGCCAGTCAAGTGTGGTATAGTAGCATAAAAAACAGACAAGTTCAATTGGGAAGCAAGGTGCATTTGTTCAGTGAGTTGTTGTTGTTGTTTTTTTTTCTTTCTTCAATTCGACAACCGCTAGGTGATGCAGATGACTTTTCACCTGTAAGAGTGGGGCTTTACCTTCCATGTGAAGATAAATTTCTGCACTGACTTAATGTTAATGTTTGATCTACTGGTCGTCTAGGAGATATCTCGACTCGATGTCTTAAGGTACTACAGCTTTTATACCCTTCTGAGGACCTATAATAAAGCTGCCCTTGGAACAGTTTGTTAAATATTGTTCAAATTTTTATTTAAATCTATTCTTCTTCTTTTTTAATTATTTATTTCTTTTTTTAGGCTTGTTCTAAATCCGGGGACATTAACTCTGGGAATTCAGTCTAACTCCAGCTTTTATTATGTTATCCCAATCCACTCACATACTCCCTCTGTTTTCTGTGCTGTTTAGGTGTGGAGTTCCCTCCTTGTACAGTTGAAGTTTTCCGAGTCCTCGAGTGGATCGACTACCCCCGAGATGCCAATGGAAACATCATAGCCATGGTTCACCCCAACCTGCAGGTAAATATTAAAATTTAGAATTGCTCTCACCTTCAATCTCTAGCCCTCATGTCATGTTTGGACCGTTGAGTCTATAAATGTGCTGCTTTAAGGAGGAAATGAGATTTCTTTTGATGACGTGAGACTGTATTGTTTCAGTTTAAACAACATACTCAAATTACTTTCCCTGTGGCTCTTGCTTGTTATTGTTGCAGGACTGTGACTGGGAGCCGCTGAACCCTGGTGACCCAATGTTCCACACATTTGATGGAAAAACCATCCACTACCAAGGCTCCGGGACGGTCTATCCTACTTTTATTAACGAGGCAGCCTATTATGAGAAACAACAGGCATTTATAACCACCAGGCGAGAAACCTTGGTAGCAAGTGCCATCATAAAAGCATGAAGAACTGTTTGTTAAGGCTAACAGCAATCATGATTATGTGTTAGCCACAGGAGCAAACTGTATCAAGATTTTGCACTTTGCTCTGTTAGAAAACAGCAGAAATCCTGCAGGTTAGATACCATCTTTTACAAACTGATTTAGGTTTTTATGCATTCACTATCGGAAAATCACTTAACTATGCAAAGAACATTTGTGCAGGCACTGTGACAGTCTTTGATCTTGAGACTACTATATTATTGTGAGAAGTATTTATGATATTGTACATATTTACATTAAATCAACTAGATTTTTATTATATTAAAGACTAGGCCTAATCATTGATGGCTTCGCAATCATCCTAAACACTCCTTTTACGTTTCCAACTACTGCTCAGGAAGGCTGTGTAGAGGATCGTCACCTGCAAACTTTTGACTCAAACTGTAGATGTTTGTCTTTTTCTGAAAATATATTTGTATCACGTGTAGGGGTGGGGGGGTTGTTTTGTGGCCTTTGATACTACCTACCTGTAACTCCGTTGGTTGCATCTGTGGTGCTGTCCTTTTTTTGCCTTAACTGAGATTTCCGAGACAGTTGTGCAACAAATCTGGAGTAGAGTTTTGTAGATTTTATGTCTCGGTTAAACGTTTCGATTACAGTCTAAGTTCTCTCCCACATAAACCAGATGCAGTGTGAGATGTGTTTTTATAATATATCTGTCTATTTTGATATACTTGTATTGTAAGTTTGCTTTCAAAGGGATGCATAGAAATTGTTGCATCCTGGAAAGCGTATTTACTTTTTAATGTTTTCATCTTTATGTTGTCCCAAAGTGTCTCGCTGTGGTCTTAGACTTGAGCAATATATCTGTTAGAATCATTTCTGTGACTAGTGAAATTCACTGTACTAGAAGTCCTGCGGAAATGATCCTACCAATAAATGTTGTACTACTGTGTGTTTTACTGTGTGTGCTGCTTTGACTCACGCTCGTTTAGTCCTGCAGGGCATGTGGCCACAAGAGGGCGTCATGCAACCACTGATTAAAGTCTCTTACACCGTGCACTGTGGTGCAGTACAGAATATACTGGAGGGTGCAGCCGGTGGAATCATGTCCGAGCCAGTTGTTTTGCTCCCTTGTGTGTCACTGGTGCATCATGTGTCACAAGAACCTATCCACTTTTACAGCAGCTCTCCTGATCACAGAGCTGCTGACCCACTAAGGAAAAATTGCAGCTCTCTACTTGTGTGGTATTATTTTATTTTTATTTTTTTTTAAAAAACACTTGACCCATCAATTTGTTTCAATATGTGCACTTTCAATGCCTTTATTTCAAGTACTCTTGTCCCATAAGACTTTAGATATAAGATTCAATACAACTTTGACACTTACAATATTATATATCTTATATATTATACATGTGCCGTACCGTAGAACAATGACACTAAGTGCTGTAATTATAACATAGCTGGATAGTTTGTTCATGCGTCTCTCTTTTTGTTGATGGCAGCAAAGAATTTGAGTCACTATCTGAGTTCAGTGTTTCAGGAATCCAAGGCATCTGGATTTGAATGGAGGTGTGTGGAAAAGTTTAAGAATATGTTCACTAAAAAGGGTTGGATAGTAACACAGAGTACATACCCACAGCTTGTTGGGCTGGAGGTGTTATTTAAGCTGTGAATATATGACACACACTCACACAAAAGGGAACTAATTTACTAGGCATTTTATAACATTGTTACATTCTGGTTATCTATTGAGCATCTCTGATCAGTGTGGTAGGTGTGGTTGTAGCTGCGAAATGTAATTAAAGCAGAATTACAGCTTTGTGCACACTCTTCTGCATCGTTTACCCTCTCAGGTATCTGTCGACTGAATACCACACACTGAGCAAACTTGTTAGGTGTCTGTTTCACTAATATTAAGCAATGAAATGAGTAAAGCGTGAGAAGTATGGCTGGATCGGCTACACAGTCATGTTTATGCAGTCCCAAAAGCTAGCTGTCTTTATTATAACTTGTAGACTAACCAGGAAAAGTCCACATGTTTTATGCTTTCTTTGTCGTATCAGGCCTGTGATTGGTAATCTAGCTTCATAGCTGGTCGTAGTCTTTGTAGACTATTCATTACAGTAACCCAATACAGGCCCCCAGGCCTGCAATGAGTGCGGATCAATGGCCACTGAAAGCTTTCAGGAGAATGATCTTTCAGTTCTGGGCGGGTATCCAAATGGGCACTCAGAAATACCAAGCACCCATCTCTGCCTGCACCCGCCTCTCTCTGTCTGCACAGATAACTTTCTTCTCTGTTGTATAGCATTACACTTTATTTTACTGGCAGGCTCCTGTCTGGCTTCTTACCAAGCTCTTCTTTAATATTATCAGGACATAGCTGCATGAATTTTGATAATCATGCTTTATGTTTACTTTTTTTTTATGGAAGATGAGTCTCCCAGAGATGGGTTCTGTTCATATGAAAATCACAGACATGGAGAGTCTTCAAAATGAGACATACTTAATTATTTACCAGCTAAATGTCCAATAAATGTTTTTCTGCTGTGCCACAAATCAAGATGGGGAATCAAGCTGACCTTCTTTTCAACACACTGTTTAGCAATTGTAAACTAGCAGGCTTGAAAACAAGGAGGAGAAGGAGGTTGTGTGCTTGAAGTTATGGCATTGAAGAGACAGGTGCGTGTGAAAGGTTTTTGTACATGAGTTCCTGCAGTATATTTGTTTCCTCTGCAGACAGATAACAAGCTACCTGATAGATTAAAAAAAAAAAAGTGCATCCGTCCCTTCCTTAATGTCAAACCACCGAAACCTGTAGCTATAGGGAAGCAAACCAAACATCTGCTTTCAAGGTCTGCTTGGTCTGCAACATTACATGCTGCCCAGTGTGCCTGTGTATGCAGCTGAAATGTGGTCAGGAGGAATTAATTTTTTTGTGTCACTTAAAGCAACTTGCAGGTTTTTGAGCTTCCTGTATATCATTAAAGGTTTTTCAAATGTGTCAACACTGTAACAAGATTTGTTCAGCATCTTTGTTCAACAGACCACCAGTGTGGCTAAAATAGAAAACCACAAACAACAGAATAGAAACAAGTTGACAGTATATTTAGATCAGCAGTGTTTCTTCACAATAGACTGAACTGGCAAAGATACAAACTACCAAACAGATCAACCTTTATCTGGAATATAATTTCTTTTAAATGTGCACCACCAAGCGTGGTTGCTTTCCTTTAGCAGTGCTTGTTGCATTCAGATCCTGTCGGATTTTTTTTATGTTATTATTATTATTATTATAAGGTGTGAATTGAAATTCAAGAATAGTGTTCAAGTAAAACGGGTTAGTTTATCCGCAGATACAGTGTGAGCAATCGATGTGGAAATATTAGTCATGAGTTATAATATTCTAACATCCCTGCCCTCATACTTATAATAATTGTTTTTTAATTATTTGGGTTTTTTTTCTTTTTGCTTGTTTTTAAACATTTCTTTTGCCACCAGGCTATACCGCCCACACCCACTTCAGAAACCGCGGCATTGATTGGATAATGCTGTCATGAAACCATGGCCGCTTTAATTCTCCCAGCGGCACCTGAACGCACCACGTCTGGATACAGGAAGTCTCGAAACTTTTCAGCGTAGTGGCAAACTTGTCTGCATTAGACGCAGGAGTGCGCCGTGCGCCGTGCGCCAGTTACGTGTAGGAGGTGCAAGATGGTCAGAAAGTGCTCAAGTTAATACCGTTTATTTGTTTTTTTCTTTTCCGGAAAACAAGTGAGAAAGGAACGTGGATTTACGCGACAGTGTCGGTGAAGACAACAGTTAGCTTCAATATTTTCTGACTTGCATGACAAGACTGCGACGGGCGTGAAGCCCCGCGTGAACATCAATATGTGGGAGCAGGAGGAATTCGAAAAACACTGGAGGAAAGAATTTCCCGACGGAGAAGTACCCCAGATGGATTTGAACTCTGTAGAGGACATCGAGTCCGAGCTGGAGACATGCAAAGCCAACCTGAAGAGGCTCCAGAAGGCTCTGGCAGAGGAGAAATTCAAGGTGATTTACCTGGAGACCACCGTGGCCCGACAGAAGAGAAACGACCCGGAAAGGTTTGAAGGCAAAGATGAAAACTTTAACGCTGACATGTCGACCTTTTCCAAAACGGAGAATATCAGGAAACCGCCGCGGCGGGACGCCGAGCGTGACGAGGGGAGGATGAAGGCGCTGGACCCCGGTGGCATGAAGCACCACGCTGCGGGTAGCAACACAGCGGGGCTCACCAGCTACTTCGGCCGGGAGCGAGGCAGGTTCAGCGGCAAGATGGGCAAACCAGTCCCTATCCCGGTTCCGCCGCAGAAGCCCGTGTTTTGTAGAGTGGACACGGCCCCTGCCATCGTCCAGCGTGCGAATGACAACGAGGAAGGCAGCGACCGGGAATATGAGGATTTGGAGCTGAATGAAAATTTCGTCAGGAATAACTTGTTGGCACCAAAGATCGCGGGAAGAGACGGCCAGAAGACTTCCAGCGCTCACCGGGACAGCCGGCGGCCTTTCCGCTACAGTAGGGAGTTTGACTCTGATGATGGCAGACTGTCACCGTCCTTCCCCCACATTCAACGCAGACCCTCCCGAGGCTCGGGGTGCAGCACCCCAGAGAGGAGGAGTGATGGGTACCTGAGCTCCGACCACGATGACTCCTCTTCCGCAGGTAATGTCAACACCGCTGCCGCCGGTAATGGCTATAAATAAGAAGTGCAATATGTAAATTAGATTTTACTACATGAAATGGCCTGGTTGGAAGATCATTGGCAGCTAAGCTAGGCTTTAATTCTGGATTTATAGTGTAAAAGCCAGATGGGATCTGTAGTCAAGCATTTTAAACATGCCAAAGGCACTGATGTCAGGGAAGGGAAGACACAAGGCTCCATAAATCATATCTACAAGTAGCAACTTACTGCAAACTGAATTAAATGTGGTATGTTTTTATTTGCAGGGTGCTTTTTTAAGCAACCAGTGTGAGTACTGCAATTGATTTTGTGCTCCAGTACTCGTCATTGTCATTTACAGCTGATCAGCAGTGTTATGCAATTCATCGGTTTCTGGCTCTTACTTCCTCCTTCCACAGTGAGAATAAAGGAAATCTCAGCAGATGCAAATGCACTTATGTTAGTCAGTGATAATAATACAAAATCAGTCTGTATTTTGGCACGAGTGTCCCTGGTTTAGAGATGATCTTTATTTGTTTAAAACGCAAGACGAGGTGTATTCATGTAACCCCATTTTAGCTTTTCAGATTCACCCACGGAGAAAAAAAACAAGTTTACCATGTGCCAAACTAATTGCTGAGTGCTGTTACAAAATATTTGTAGTATTGTCCTGGACAAATGCACACTGCAAACACCTGTTTCTCTGCTGTAGTCTCCAGTAGCTTATTTTTGCATCCTGAATGGGGCGTGTCAAGGAAATGCCATTCTTTTAAAAAGCAAAGGGTATGGTCTTTAGATCAAATGTCACACTTGTTCTGTTGGAAATATGTTTTTCTGTGTTCTGACTTATGTTTACGCCTTAGTTGCTCAGGTTGTTTCATTTACCAATATAACCACCCCCCACATCCCCCCTAAAAAAACAAAGGTCAATAAAGCAACACAGTTGCCTAGAATAACTTCTCTTAATAACTGCTCTTCAATGTTCTCACACGAGTCAGACTTGTGCCATGACTTGTATTTCTACTAAGTGTCTTGCATGTAACTCCAAACCCTAGTTAATATTAAGCTGAATTTACCTTCAAATAATAGAGATCTGCATAACATGTCAGTACTTTTACTTTATTAATTTTGTTTTTGCTTGATCAAGAAGAAAATGTTTATCAGCGTAGGACTACCTGACTCTGCTGGATGGAGGGGATTTCATGAAACAAATAAAACCCTGTATAAGTGTGGCTGAGGAACAGATCCATAATAGACTAAATGCTCTAAGTGGTGTTGTAGATATCAGACATAAGGAGAACTACCAAATGTTATAACAGACCTAATGCAGGATAAGGTAACCATTAGGTGTAAAGATAAGGACAGGATTTCCTTTGCAAAGCCCCACTCGAGCATACCACTGGCTTTTTAATCATGTAGATTAGAAGGTTACCGGTTAAATGAAACCATCTTCACTTGTGTGAAGTACTCTACATTTTCTATATTGACCTTGAAGACAAAATGTTCCCTTTCTATATCAGCAATCTGTAAGAGGTCTACAGATTGCTGATATAAACTGAAGCTCCTTCATATCACCCTTGAAGGAGCTTCAGTTTAGTTGGTGGTAAATGTAGATACAGCCACATGCACTGAACAGTCTGGCTTCTTTTATGATATGAGTCATATTGAGCATGTTGGGATGTTAGTCAGTGGATTTATTGTAAACGGACTTAAAGTCCTGTTCTGATGTCATGCAAGTGCTGTTTGACGCAGTGAGTTCAGGAGTTGAAACACCTCACAAGTTGCATGAGTAACCAGAAAACCAGCATAGAGGTGGCTGTGCATGTTGTGCATTTCACTGCTGCAATGCATGGTTCTAGTAAACGTATATAATGTCAGCTTATCTTATTTTAGCTAGGGCTGTGTCTTTATTTGTAGAAACGTCAGTGATGAGCTTTAGGCTACAAGGTGGTTTAAAGTTAGTCAAGATTTTTCTTCCGTGCTGTTGTTAGTCACTTAAAGGTCGCACCTCAAAGTTAAGATTTGTTTAACTTGGCACTGAGCTACTTTATGTCACTGCCACAAGTCTTTACATTTGTGGCACATTGTCTCTTCCTGTGTCTGAGGCCTGTAAGAGTTTCTTACAGGCCTCAGTATAATTTCTGGTAAGGGCTGGGCAGTGGTTTCTAAAAACTCCAAACAGGAAAGCAGAATAAAGTGGGAAATTGTAGAGAGAAGGGAGACAAAATATGAATAAAAGACAAAAGGGACGAAGCACAGATGTTTTCTGAAAGAAAAAAGGTTTGTGGAGAACACTCGCCCGTGACACTTTGTATCTGAGGTGTGAGAGGTGCTAAATATTGAACTGCAGAGGTGCTTGCAGTTCCTTGCATGTGTCTCCTCATATTTCCTGTCTGTGTGCTGGACTGGACAAACATCCTTTATGTCTACTTTCATATTTACAACACATGCCATCGGACCACTCGTCCAACTGTCAACAAAAAGCGACGCAGAACATTTTCTTTAAGGCGTCCTTTCATCAGAGGCGCTCACAGTGGTCAAAAATTCCCTCGTAAACTGTAGGGCAGGACTCTAAGAAAATTATTTACTTGGAAGCAAAGACTCTGATCTTAAGTAATAATTTAAATACTAATCCAGGAAACTGGAGTCATGTCTTGCTGTGGCGTTGTTTTAAGAAGTTTGGCAATACTGACGGAGATGGTTTGCTTGTCATGAGTCAGGAGTGAATGAGTAACTTAAACATGAGAATAGATTGAGGAAGGCTTTTTTTTTTTTAATACACTGTGACACATCCCCAGTTCCCTAGTCTGTTCTGTTCTTTTAAATATGAAAGGATTATGGAACGCTTGACACTAATTGTCGGCTCACAGTTTCATTGTTATGGCTCTGCTCATTGATTTGGTGGTTACTGACTGGTTTGGCTGATGTGCAGGGATTTGGAAAAGTGGCAGTTTGGGTCAGAAGCCAAAAATGGAGAAGTAACAAACAGGCATTGTTTTATGAGTACCGACGCTGTGGCACTACTCTTTGCTTCATTTGGAGTTGAAATTCATTTAAGCAAAAATGGAAAATTTTCTTTTACGAGCTGTTTTGTGTCAAAGACACACGAATGTGTTGGACGTTGTTAAATGGGGTCTTATGCCTTAAGAGGCAGTTTGGTGTCTGAAATACAGGAATTGATGGTCTTGAGAAAAAGAGCAGAAAACACCTGCTGAGCTTTTCACCATGACACGCTGTTTGCTTTTCCATTGCAACAGGTCAGGGGATGCATTTTCCCATAAACCTGTGGGTCAGTAAGGAAAACCACTTACTGTAAGCCTCTTAATCTATTCCATCTTTGCTATCCAACAGGATATTGATGTTTTGTTCTGACAACTGGGATAATCAGTGGAAAGACTTTAATTGTGGCTAAAACAATGGGGAGGGTGTGTGAACCTGTGGGAGGATGTAGAGGGGCTTAAGGTCACCTTTTATAATCTAAACAACAACAGTCATCTGCCCTTCTGGTCACTTAGCATTATGGGATGAAGTGCCCCCTTACTCCCACTTGCACATACGCACAAGCTGTTGGTGAATGCCAGGGGTGTTGCTCATATTGATGCCTTTGTGTAGTGTGCATTTCCTAGGAAGCGGTCATCCATCAGGTCATGTGAGTCTTTGTCCAACGCTGTGGTTTTTCAGTATTCTTCCTGATTCACCTCTGATTCGCAGCACCGCTGGTCTGAAACCTGAAAGGAATCCATTCTTATTGTGACAGTGTTTCAGTAAGCATTGTTGTTTAATTTATTTTTTTTAAATTCATAAAATAGGTCTTTGAATTCAATGTAGTCATTGCGGGTATTTGATTTTCTTTAGTCCAGTCTGCACATGCCAACATACAGTATACTCCTGCTAGAAGTGATGAACACAGTCCAGTTTTTAGCTCTCCCAGCTATTTAAAGCAGTGTAATTCAGAAATATCTTTACTGAGCGCAGGCATATTAAAGGAAAAAAGATTATTTTTAGCCTATAACCGCTTTGATCTCCATAGGAAAATTGTTTTTATATCTCGCAGGAAAGCTGAACGACCTGCTTATTAATTGAGTTCATAATTCTCTAGTTGCATTGCCAGAAGAAGGAGCCCTCTGAGAGGGCTATTTCCTGTTTCTGTTGTCTATTGCACGTATCTTTGTTAAGCATCTGGCAGCTCAGGAAAGAAAACATTCAGATGTGTAACTGTTTCTTTTTTTTCTTTTTTCTTTTTTTTTTAAGATGTCAGGTATTTAAATGTGAAGTTCTTTAACTGTTAGACATAGATAATTATTTCTAACAGTAGTTAAAAAAATTCTTAAAGCAAATAACAGTAACTCTAAAAACTGAGTGATAAGACATGACGTTATGGTGTTTCAGTCTTTTCAGTGAATGCCATATCAAAATGTACAATAAGAAAATGTTTTGCAGTTATGAAAGCGATGGGAAACTCTTGGCTTTTTGAAGTATTTGGACAGTATCGATAAAGAATAACAAATCACACATGTCACTGACATACAATTATATTAATAGTTTAAATAAATGGGGGGGAAAATAAATCAGCCACATGGAAAACATTCATCCTGATGTTAGCCGAACTTTCAAATCCATAATAATCAGTATTATTGGATTTTAATATTATCAGAAGTTCCAGTTATTAGAATTAGATGGTCAGGTCTCCAATACTCAAGACTCTATGTGATAATGTCTGTGTAATTTGAGGAGAAAAAAGGCAGAAAATCATAAATTATTTATTTATTCATTGGATTATGGAGCCTGTGTGTATCTGTTCTCCAATTTCAATAACATGTCAGTTTATTGGCTCTCTAATTAGCAAGCGTTGCCAGAGATTTCATTAAGTAGTGACTTTGGTATACAAGTGGAGGATTTCCTTGCCCTTATGTTTCGGTGAAATATTGTATATTTGGAGCCAACGTATCAAAAATAATGCCACAAAAAGAAACAATGGTGTAAATGAGGCTTATGTTTTGTT